GGGGGGGGGGGGGTGGCACATGGTCCCATAGACAGAAGTCAGGTCCACGGCAGTCATTTAAAATAAAGTTCTTTAATAGTCTCCATTTAATTGGTTTATTTGTTGTTAATAAATTGGCAACACAAGGAGGGGCCAAGGGTGTGTTCCCAGGCAGGCTCCTGTGTGTCTGGGCTCAGGTAGGAGATGCTGCCCTGGGTCAGGGGCAGGACACAGCCACCCCATGCCCCAAGGGATAGAAGGAAAAGGTCCCTCACTTCTGGGGCGCCCCTTGGGATGAATACAGCGGCCAATGAGCAAACAGAACCAGAGGAGCTGAAGGAAAACGAGGGAGGGGCAGATGGGCAGGCTTGGGGAAGGCAGCATTCTCTCGTGTCCCCCACCCCTGCCCAGGGCTCAGAAGCCTTTGCCTGGGTCCAAAGGCCAGGGCAAGCTTGGCTCACAGATTGGGGGAGGGTGCCCATATTTCCCTCCCCACCCCAGGACTGACGGCCAAGAGACTGGGCAGAGCTCAGACAGAGCTATTTTTAAGTCTCCTTACCTCTGGGTGGGCCAGAGCCCCAAGGTTCTGAAGGAGGGGTGGGCATAGCGCCCCTGTCCTCATCATGGAGATCTCGAAGGAACTAAGGTTCCCCAATGACCTTGGGCCCTCGGACCCAGGGGCCAAGGGCTTCTAGACACTCTCTCCCACCAAGCCTGTACCTGAAGACCTGGGGTAGGCAGAGAGCAGCAGGAAGGCAGGGGAGGGGTGGAGACATGGCAGGGCGTGCGGCACTCATACCCACGCTCACCCACGCTGGCCCTGGCCCAGCAGCCTCCTGAGGAGTGCCTGGCCCAAGGTCACTCCTCAGTGAAGTCCCTGTCTATGTCCATGTAGGGCTCCTCGATGTAGCTGACAAGGGCAGAGGGTGACTGGCGGTCTGGGTTCAACAGGATGGACACGGTCTCTTTCCAGTATGAGAAGCTGATGCAGGAGCTCTGGGCAAAGAGAGAGGGGCTGGGGGGCGCCTGGAGGACCCAGGTCAAGCCCGGCACCCCGCGGGGAGGGCCATGGTAAGGGGACAAAGAGCTGCCCACCACATGGCCCAGGAAGGGACCACGCACCCCAAATGCCCCTCTGAGGGGCCCTGGGTCTGCGTGCCCACAGCCCACCCACCAGCCAATTGGGCGGAGCACTCACGTTCTCCAGGCAGGTGCTGTCCTTGTCCTTGTGCAGGTAATGCTGCTGCCAGAAGCGCAGCAGGTTGTGGAAGTTGTTGAGTAGGAAGCCGGGATACTTCTTGCTGTGCTCCATTCGCTGCAGCAGCCGCAGGTACAGGGGCAGCCGCTCTTTCCGTCGGGCCAGCATCAGGATCACCAGGCTGGTGTTGAGGCAGCTGACGTTCTCCTGTAAGACCCCAGGCCAGCCGGGTCAGTTGTGTGCTGGTAGCCTCAGCAGCCCCTGGTGGACCTGGGTTGCCACTGGCCAGGGAAGGTGGCCCAGGCCCAGACCCTGCAGAGCCCTGAGGCCACACATTGAGCTGCCCCTGCATAAACCTGAGAGAAGGCTGGGCAAGGAGTGATGCCAGCACTGCCAGGGTCCCACCCTGAGCATCTTCCTGTCCCTATCCC